ACAGCATCATCTTCTTCCTTTTCCTCAAGTGGCTCTTCCATGTCATCCTCTCAGAACCAGCATGGGAGTTCCAAAGGGAAATCTCCCAGCAGAAATAAGAAGCCGTCCTTAACAGCTGTCATAGATAAACTGAAGTATGGGGTTGTCACCAGTGGCCCTGGAGGTGAAGACCCAATGGATGGCCAGGTGGGGGTGAGCACAAATTCTAGCCATCCTATGTCCTCTAAACATAACATGTCAGGAGGAGAGTTTCAGGGCAAGCGTGAGAAAAGTGATAAAGATAAATCAAAGGTTTCCACCTCGGGGGGCTCAGTGGATTCATCTAAGAAGACTTCAGAGTCAAAAAATGTGGGGAGCACAGGTGTGGCAAAAATTATCATCAGCAAGCATGATGGGGGTTCCCCTAGCATTAAAGCCAAAGTGACTTTGCAGAAACCTGGGGAAAGTAGTGGAGAAGGGCTCAGGCCTCAGATGGCCTCTTCCAAAAATTATGGCTCTCCACTCATCAGTGGTTCCACTCCAAAGCATGAGCGTGGCTCTCCCAGCCATAGCAAATCACCAGCATATACCCCTCAGAATCTGGATAGTGAAAGTGAGTCAGGTTCCTCCATAGCAGAGAAATCTTATCAGAACAGTCCCTGCTCAGATGATGGTATCCGACCACTTCCAGAGTACAGCACAGAGAAGCATAAGAAGCACAAAAAAGAAAAGAAGAAAGTAAAAGACAAAGACCGGGACCGGGATCGGGACAAAGACCGAGACAAGAAAAAATCTCATAGCATCAAGCCAGAGAGTTGGTCTAAATCACCCATCTCTTCAGACCAGTCCTTGTCGATGACAAGCAACACAATCTTATCTACCGATAGGCCCTCAAGACTCAGCCCTGACTTTATGATTGGGGAGGAAGATGATGATCTTATGGATGTGGCCCTGATTGGCAATTAGGAACCTTACTTTTTCAGACAAAAAATATGGCCAGAGCGAAACTAATAAGTTTATAGGCAAACCACCATCGGGGTGAGTCGGACAGGTGGTGTTTAAGAATGTTAAATGAAATGTCCTTGATACTGAGCTGGGTGAATTTAGAAAAGCATAGCCAGACCCTACTAAAAGAGACCATGGGTTTGATTATTAAAAATCACTTCCTTTGCCAGAAAAAAAAAGTTAAAATACTTGCTTATAAAAGGGAGCGGGTGGGTGGGGCATAGGGAAAGGGAAGGGCGGAAAACAGTTTTGTGGGAAATATTCATATATATTTTTTCTCCCTTTTTCCATTTTTAGGCCATGTTTTAAACCCAATTTTAGTGCATGTATGTGAAGGGCTGGGCAGAAAGTGAAAAAGCAATACATCCCTTGATGCATTTGCATGAAGGTGTTCACCTTTGGGTAGTTGTCCATTAGAGACATGGGCAAATGAAGGACTATGGTTACTTTGGACACTTAAGTAATGTTTTGTGTCTGTTTCTTAGGAGTATTTTGGGGGAGGGAAGGTAATTTTAGCTATTTATTTGTAATATTTTAACCCTTTATCTGTTTTTATACAGTATTCCTTTCTAATTCTATGAGGTTCAGGGGTCAAAATGATAGGAGGTAGAGAAGAGCAAGGCTTATTTGGTTGTAGGGAGCTTGTAGCTTTGCTGGTACTGTAGCATGAAGCCCAAGCAAATTAGAGCCCATCTTTGAAGTTGAGAAAAACCAAAATGGTATTTTTTTGTTTTAGGAGGTTTTTCTTGGGATTCAGGCATCATAGGAATATTAGGAGTTCCTCCCTGTGGATGTATTGATTTATAGTCTCTCCTTTACAAAAAAAGCTGGGCTGGCTTTTTGGGTTGTAAACATATTTTCAGATGCAGTAAGGTTTAATGTGGGACAACTTCCCTGACCCAGTGGCATGAAAACCATTGCAGAATTAATAGTTCTCCTATTTCCACAATGTGCCAAAAGTCTACACCCCAGCATTTTGTTTGTAGGAGAACAGATGCCATTCCTGAGAGCTGGGCTCCTTTCTCACAAGGAGTCCAGACTTGAATCACTCATGCTCCCTTAGATAAAACAGTAAAAAAATGTGCAGCCATAGTTCACTTAAAACAATTTCAAGCTCACTTGAAGTAAGGGAGCCTGGAATGCTAGGTGGGCATGAAGATAAACCCTTGCTACTGTGTAGCAACACAATTGGACCTTTTTGGAGGAATAGGTCTGAGTCTGGATTCTGGGGGACATCAATAAGAAGCCCTTCTCATAAATATAAAAATCCAGGAGACCATTTGAGTGCAACACAAGTTCTCAGTATTTGGAGGGTCCTCTCAAAATTCTGCGGCCTTACTTTGATTTTTGACACCTGCACTGTGCCATTCCTGATGATTCCATTCAGGACCTGTATCAGCAGGACGGGGCGTGGTCCCCAGCACAACTCTTCTGGATTTAAAAAAGAAAAGCCAGGTGATTTATTTATGTATGTGTGTGATAAATGGAGTGACTTCATCAGATATTGAAGAAGATTTCTATATTCAGCTCTTTCTGCAGGTTGGAGTTAGCATAGAGTTGGAAAATCAGCTTTGGCTTCTTTCCTGACTGTCTCTGATTTCCTCTAGTGTTCTCCCTTTTCTGGTCATCAGCTCTCAACAACTCTGCCACTTTTGTGTCCCAAGGTAATAAGAAGTAGGAAACGAAACATTGCAAAGTGGAGCAAGAAAAGTTATCCGTTACCGTATCAGTCAAATGTCTTGGGTGACACTAAGGAGGACATGGGCAAGGTGATACCAGAGTGCTTTATCTTGTGATGCTGATACAGTAGCAGCCTCTCAGACATACAACCAGGTTGGATTTCTCACAAGTTTCTCACCTAGTTTTGAATCCTGTCCCATTGGTTTCTGAGGAAAACAAAAAAGTTATATGGTATTTTTGTTCTGGGTGGGGAAGACCTTACGGGGAATGTACTGCATAGTATCAGGGGCTCAGCTCCCCCAAGCAGAGCCAACAAATACCAAAATGAGTAAACTGGGAAGCTTTTTCTCTCTTTCTGTCTTCATCCCAGATCAAAGGATCCCGAGTTAGGATCTGGATGAAGGATAAGCCCCTGCATTGTCGATGGGCACACCCCACACACTGACCCAGCATCTGAACTTGCTTAACAGGGAGCCGGGGCTAAACTGCTTCACCCTGCCTGAGAACCAGGGAGCACTGCATTTCTCCACAGGGTGGAGGAGAAGAGGCAGAATAATCCAAGCCTGGGACACCTCCCTCCTGTCTAGGTGTACTCATTCTCCTGTTTCAAAAGACGGCAAGGACATGAAGTCAACTTCTACCTGTTTTCTGCTGCTGGTGTCTTAATGTATTCTTTGACTTGATTTCTCTTCTGTCTTTAGCTTCATGTTAGGGGTTCTTGATTAAAACCTGCTCTGATGTACATGAAGATTTCAGGTTCAAAATCAGCATGTTTTAAAATAAGTATCGGGGGTGGATGGATGAAGCAGGATGTAATTGCCAAAACCAGGCTTGAGGTCGGTAGCTCTTGGAAAGATTTTTCTTAAGGCCTACGTCTAAAAATTTAGTGCAGCAATATCATGAATTCTCAGAAAACAGAAACAAAATCTTTCAGGGAGCCTGTGAGTCATACAGTATTCAGTCAAGTTACTTAAAGCAGATGCCAGTATAAGAAACTCATTATCCACAATCCCTGGGCAATCTCATTGTCTTACTGCCCCCCCCCGCCCCCCGTCCCCCTTCTTTTCAACCCTCTTCCTCCTTTCTTTCTACCCTTAAGTTAGTTTTTTGAGGGATAGGAAGTGCTTAACATCTCAGAAACTAGGTTGGGAAACAGGTTCAGCTGTAAAAGCTGGGCTTTAAATTTTGAGTTTTAAAAATGTACATCAGGAGCAGCTGGGGAGGGTCTTTTCTAAAATCTTTGATTTGTTTTTCTGTGTATATGGCTGTTCTGTAAATACTTTGGGGTTTTTCATTTTTTTGAAAGATAAAAATCTGGGATTTTCCCCCCAAAACATTACAAAAGAACCTGATTATTTACATGCAAATAAATTTCTTTGATAAAAATTAATATGCCTATGTGTAATAAGTTTTTAACCTTTGAATAATGTTCATGTATTCATCTTTTTAAAAGTTTGGTCAATTAAAATTTTATCAAAAAGTAAGTCTTCCTCCAGTAAGTGTAACTTGAAATAGGTTAATTGGAAAAGATAATTGAAACAGGGAAACAGAGCTGTGAAAGTTTCATTTGATGTATCTGCTGGAGCCAGTTTTACTATTTTCTGCAGGCCTTAGTTACCAAATTAATCAATTTTTGCTAGGAGAAAACTGTTCTTAGGTGAGCCATAACTAAAAGGCAGTATTTTTCTTTTGTTTTGTTTTTGGCTGAAGTGAAGCAATAACATTAAAAGTACCTGTGAGGGGAGAGAGCATAACAGCTAGATCTGGGTTTGTGAGCCTAAGAAAGAGTTTCTGAAGCCGAGGTTTCTTGTTTAGGAAGCCCTTTCTAGGATAATGAAAATAAAAGTGCTTGAAGAGTTTGGTAATAAGCCTTACAGCTAAAACATACCAATTTTTTTACAACTCTCCAGCACTATTTGTTCGTCAGCTCGTAATGAGATTCATAACAAGTTGGTCACTAAAACTGCGAATTAAACAAGGTATGAAGACAAACTCATTCCGGCTGAAATTTGATAGTTTCTAATTTATCTTTGGAACATGATTCTGTGGTTTGTCGTTGTTCTAAGGGTAAACTCTTAATTCATGTAAATTCGATCATGAATTTCCAGACCTTGAGGACTGGAGTTGCTAAAGCATAATAACGCGATGACACAACCTAAGGAGTCAGCTATATGTCAGTTTCCTTTCTGTCAGCGCCCCCGCCTACTCGGCCAGACACGCCAGACACGCTTGTTTCTCCCGCCAAAGTGGCGTCAGGATCAGGTTCTCACCAACCAGAGCCCTGATTGGAGGACGGGCAGGCAGTGAGCCCATTGGGCGCCAGCGGCGGTCGCGGCGGCGAGGAGGGGGAAGCCAAAGGCCCTTTCGCCTCTCCTGCCCCCACTTCCACCTAAGTGCACCCCTCCCCCAGCTAAAGGAATAGTCACCCCGCTCCAGCACGGAACCCCCTGACCCCAAGGTGCGAGGTGCGGCCTCGCTGCATATCCCCGGAGCAGTGGGCAGCACAATGATCCCCCTGCCCTTCTGATCCATGCACAGGGCGACCCACGCCCCGCAGCGGCCCTCCAGGCTTCCCTGCAACACCCGGTAATGCAATCCACGGGGGCGGGGGAGGCGGCGGCAGCGGTAGCTACGGCAGCGGCGGCAGCAACACCAGCACTGTCCCAATCTAGCGACAACCAGAAAGAGGAAAATGGCTCCGAGCAGGGACCGCCTGCTGCACTTTGGGTTCAAGGCGACAGTGAGTGATAGGGGAAGGGAGCTGGGTGGCCGGGAAGGACGTGTGTGGCAACACAGGCTATTGGGGGAGCAGCGACCAGACGTAGGGGGCGGGGGAGGAACCAGACAGAAAGCTCAAGTGCTGGGTGGGTTAGGCGTGCTCCATGCCCGCGGAGGGGAGGCGAACGGGGGGCTCCGGTGCTGCGGACGGTTGTCCTGCTTTCCTCGCTCTCCCGGATCCGCGAGCACGCGCGCACTCGCACCCCCTCCCAGCCCCTC